CTCAGCCCCGCCCGCCGCTGCAGCAGGCTCTCCGCAGGTGGGCGTGGCGCTGCACTACTGCACCCTCTGCACGCTGCTCTGGATCGCCGTGGCCGCCAGGGACGTCTACCAGCAGGTGGCCAGGAAGGCGCCCCCGGGCCCGGGCGCAGGCCAGCCCCCCGCCCCCCGTCAGCCCTTGCTCAGGTACAGGCTCCTCGGGGCTGCGAGGGGGGCTGCGGGGTGCAGGGAGTGGGGTCGGGGAGCACCTCCGCGGGACGCAGGCGGGGGTGGGCGTCGGGTGTGCCAGCAGGGTGGTGCAAGCAGTGTTCAGGCTGGGATGAGGGGCGGGGCGCGCCCCGCCGCAGAGGGGGCGCCCTTCCTGCCTCCTCCCTGCCAGGCGCCCAGGTGCTCCCCACTCCCCAGCAGGGGCCCTCGCTGAGGGGTGTCTGGTGCCCCCCGCCCCCACCTCTGGCCCTGGGAGACGTGTGGGTCTTGCTGGCAGGCGTCCTGCACACCGTCCTGCTGCTGGGCCGGGCCACCGGGGGCCACCGTGTCGTGCTCTCGGGACCCCTCCAGCCGCGTCCTCGGCAGCGCCTTTGCGCCAGCTCTGGCCCCCTTGCCACTCCAGTCGTGAGCCGCGGCCAGGGCTGGCCACGCCCCGTGGTCCTCATCTTTGTTCACTGCGCCGTGGCCGTGTGTGGTGTGAGGCCTGGGCACTCCGCTTCCCTGGCCAGCACCTGGGCCTGCTGGAGATGGCCGGACACAGGTCATCGGCCCCTGGCCCCCCCGTGCTCCCTGGTGGGGCTGCCCCTCTGGTCACCACGGTGGTGTGCTGACCCTGAGACTGGGGGACCCTGGGACAGTGCCCCCGGCCCACCTCCTCGGGCCAGGCCAGGCAGGGTGCCCAGGCTGGGACCCGGTGAGCAGCTGTCCACAGGACAGATGAGCAGTTCCTCAACCACCGGGACATGGGGCCCTCAGTGCCCCCAGTGGCCATCCCCCACCCCCGCCATGCTGGGGGGCCCCGATGCTCAGGTGGCCCCTGTGTTCCCTCAGCCACAGACACTGGAGCAGGCGCTGCCCACAGCTGAGCTGGACGTGCAGTCCTGCCTGGCAGGAGTGGAGAGGCTGAGGCCATGGACGGTGTTGGGGTGCACGGGGCCCCGTGGCCACGGACCCTGCTGGTCGCTAGCTGGAGGCACACAGACCAGGCCCCTCAGACTGGGCACAGCCACATGGCAGGACGCTGCTGCCCAAGCTGGCGGCCCCTGGACCCGGGACTGTCCACCAGCCCTCACCTGGCAGCAGCCTCCTGCCCGCTGGGGACCACACCATGGCCACCCTCTCAGAGCTCCCACCACCTCGGCTCCTGCCGGCCACACTGACCACTGCCCGCTTGTAGCACATTAGTGGCCTTTGGTATGCTGCTGTTTAAACTCAGAACCAATCTGTCAACTTCAAAACAACCTGCTGGGTGTCCACCCTTGCAAATGGCGTCTGCCGTCTGGCCTGCCACTCATGGGCAGGAGCGTGATGGGCCCCTGGGTCACCCGCTGGCGGGCCGTCCACCCCGCCGCTGTCCTGCCCATCCATGCTCTTGGCAGCTGGCCACCATCCGCCTGGGTTGCTGGGCTTCCACAGTGCCATCGGGGTCTGCCGACGCCTCCGCCACGTCCGCCAGTGAGCGGCAGCTTCGGGGTGTGCGGTCCTGGGGTGCAGCTCTCCCCTGCAGCTGTGCTGTTGGGGTCCAGGCCGGGGTGGCAGGAACAGGCACCAGACCCGCGAACGGCCGGCGGGGACTCCCCGCTGTGTGTTTGTGAGCTCAGCTGCCCATCAGGCACAGGCCGTGGACGCCGGCTCTTCTTGCGTCCACTCTGGTCACTTTCCTGGAGACCTGCCTCGCAGCCCGCCAGGGTGCAGGCTCCAGGCTCCGCCCCGGCAGCCACGTCTGCCCTTGGCCCGGGGGCGGCCCGGCCTCACTGGGGGCCACGGTCAGGGCCACGGTCTGCGGACCCTTCCCGAAAACGGGGTCTGCCCGGTGACCTTCGCTGCCCTCCGCTTCCGCGCTCACCTGCCTCTCTCGCCGCCGCCTCGCCCTCTGGTCTCCTCCTTAGCTGGGGGCCCCTTTACCTCCCGCGCGCCCCGCGGCGCCAGCGGCCCCCGCCTGGAGCGCCCCTGTGCCGCTGTGGTGACCGTCCTCTCGGCCCTGGGGGGCCCTGGAGGACCCGCCGCTCCGCTTCCTGGCGTTTGGGGTTTTCTGCCGCCTCATCACCACGTCGCTTCCTGGGGGGCAGAGGTCACCCCGAGCACCTTCAGCCCTGAAGGTGCGGC